AGTAGTATTGTGACTAGTAATAGAAATGAACTTTAAGAGATCAGTTTTAAATAGTATTGTGACTAGTAATAGAAATGAACTTTAAGAGATCAGATTTAAATAGTTTTGTAACTAGTGATAGAAATGAACTTTAAGGGATTAGTTTTAAATAGTATTGTGACTAGTAATACAGATGAACTTTAAGAGATCAGTTTGAAATAGTATTGTAACTAATAATACAAATGAACTTTAAGGGACCAGTTTTAAGGCACTGACTGAAGTTGAAATGTTTAAGTTATTTACTTGTACTTGTTGCACTAGGACTGGGCGTGGCCTAATGGGTGGCATGTCGGGCTGCAGTTTGAATAGTCTGAGATTCGAGACTTAATATCGCTGAACATGTTCCGCATTTCCATGTGTGGGAACTTTATAAAAATGACAGTCGTTTCCAATATTCAGTTTAAAGAGCCGTAGAAAGCCCTGGAAGAGCAAGGTGCTGTTGGTTGTTGGCTAATAGTTACAAATTATGGACGGCTGTACCTAAATCTTAGAAATATCTGACCTGCTAGTTTGGCCAACGTGCTAAAAAAAAATACCATTCAATTTGAAAAGTTAAATTCTTGTTACACTAGCATCATTTACTTGTTTTTTACATCAATACAAAACATTTCTAGTAAAAACGTCATAAAGTTAGCGTACCTTGAACTTTATCATTTCGCGACTAGTCTTTGCTTTTGCTGTTACCATATTCCTGCACATATTAAAAAAGAGAACAAACATCATAAACACATTCCTTCAAACATAATTTAAAACATATTTACCAAAAAATGTCAGCATTTTAGTTTTACGAGTGGCAAAAATAGATCAATTTAAATACTATGCTAGAAAAACAATTTATTTTGTATATGCACATCCTTACTGACATTGTATATAAACATAGATCAAATTATCTTCTTATCTACCATATTTTGGAAACACTCGAAGGTTTGGCCAATATATACACATGTTGGACAAAGATGTAAGAAAGATACCCGCCAAGTAATTCCAAAACTCTACAGTGTAGTTATACAATTTCATGTTTATTGCGATGATATTCTTTTTTACTTTCAAGCCTTAAGGTTCGGTATGTTTAGAAAGTAGTTTACCTAGTTTCTGTTGTATTGTAGCAATCGATATTTGTAGCTCTCAAACCACATCTAGAACACAGATAGAGCTCTGCATATTTACATAAACTTGCTACTTAAGACAGAACAGAAACCCGAAAAGAAAACACGTATATTTATATACAGAAGTTTACTCAGAAGATCTGTTTTCAGATGCGATATCCATTTTGAAGCATGCAGAGTAGAAATAACGTTTTCATGAAATAGTCTACCCTGTGAGTTATGACACTATGTTAATATTGCATAAGAAGTCTTAATGTATGTTGGATTTCAAATCAATAAAGGTCCTGCTCATATCATTCAACATTCAGAACTATAGAGTTTAGGACGTATATAATCGTTAAGAAAGGTTCCTGGTTGCACTGTCAGTGCCACATGTATGTATTTAATCGGATTGAAACTGATTTTTTAGAGTCTAAACTTCGAAAACATATATATGTATATCCGGTATTGATTTATATCAACGATATGTTCTACCAAAGTTTTTGAAGAAATCTTTATAGAAAAATATGTAAAGGTGAATAATAAATACATACAATTCAGTTATTCGACAATGGTGCGTCTTGTAGCTCTATATATGAAGGGACATTTGAGGTACTTGTTCTCATTTCCTATTCATAAATTTTTTGAACAGTAACTGAAACAGGTAAACTTTGTTCCATTGAAATAACCAGATTGTATAGAATCTATTCAACGTTTGTTCTCAAAATAATGGTTTTGACAGAGCAAAAAAAAGAAAAGTATTGAACATCGGGATCTTAGCACGTGAGGCTACTAATTGTAAATAATACCATAATGAATTTAAAACTTTCATAATACAGAGTTTGTAACTTTACACGTTTGTAGGAAAGTCTTCCAAAACGTGTTACTGTTGAGGTTATTTTTTGGTTCACAACATAGTTTTTATATTTATTTTATATATTGAGTTATCTATGGTATTCTTATGAAGTATATTTTTTTATAAGATCTTGTTCAAACGTAATGAGCATTGTTTTAATACATATTAAATTATTTTTTTAAACTCTTGTAAAGAGAAAAAGAATGATGTCTGTCGACATTTTGTGGCCGTCTGGATTTTCATTCTTGCATTTAAAACTTCGAGAAATAAGCCATTGTTCTATTAACAAAGCTGATATGAATATCCACCTGTATAACTGCTATCATCCAGATACCAGGGAACTGCCACTAGGAAGGAGACACCGCTTGTTTCCTAACGGCACGCTGACGATCAGCAACATCGGACGGCTTGAAGATCAGGGGAAGTACTTATGTAAAGCTGAAGGAGAAGACGGAGGAACAGCGGAACAAGAACTTTATTTGAAAGTTTTGGGTGTGTAATGTTAATTAGACATGTTATTTGAGGCTCGATAAAAACTGTTAAATATTTGACAAACATTTCTTCATCTCATAACTTAGCTGGTTTTGGTCTAACTAACACTGGTACTTTTTATCATTTAGGTTTTTATAAAGGTTCATAATCTTATTTGACCATTGGTTGATCAAAACACCGATTATTCTCGGTTATAAATTAATATTTTCTTCGATCATAGTGGCTATTGTTACTTAAAATATAAAACTATTCATATTTAATACCTTTTATTAACAAGTCAATAATACTGTATATCACTGTACACAAAGTGTTAATATTTTTTTTTCTTTTTTTACACTTGAATTAAATGAAAGTTGTTTTATTATGTACCAAAACTCGGTTTATGTGTGTATGTGAATCAGAGTGTTTGTCATTGCTACAACTGCAATTATTTCATAAAATATTATCAGTCTTATATGAAATAAAATTCCAACTATTGGTAACTAACCTTACTGATAATGATAATAACGGGTTTATATTTCATTTGATAAAAAAGCAGCGACAATTAAAATTTAATCTGTCTGATGAGTCGAACATTGGTTCTTGATAGAACAAGTAAAAGATGAAAAAAATACGTCAACAATAAACAGATAACTAGAGAAAAACATTTGACAAAACTGCTTGAAAACTAAATAATAGATTTTGAAGATGAACAAAAATGAACGAGAAACTAAGAGAAGAAGTAGTATCGAATAATTCCAATCATTAAAAGAAAGATGTTTCTCTATTACTCTTTTCTTTTCCTCTCCTATGATGTGGTTCTTAAGAATGGAAGGTGATCGATATAAATAACAAATGTAATTAATAGTTACTATTAACTTGTAAACAATGTTTCAAAATTTAATTCAAAAGAAGTATTAATTTTTGTATTTCATTTTTACTGTTTTTAATCTTTGTTTCCCAGTGCCACCTATAATAACACCATTTTCCTTCCCTGATACGCCACGAGAGGGAATTCGAGCCAGTGTGACGTGCATCGTTCAAGAAGGTGATCCGCCGATTGAACTCACTTGGTTAAAGGATGGAGCAGCTCTTGAGTCTGACGGGAACCTTTCGGTGGAACACACGAATATGTTTATGTCTTCTTTAGTCTTCGAAAAGCTGACACCAGAACACAGCGCTAATTACACATGCGTAGCATCAAACGTAGCAACATCTGTGAATTACTCTGCTTCCTTGGTCGTGAATTGTATGTTGCAATTTAGCAAATGATTCATCTTTCCCATTATACCAAATTATAGAATGAATACTTTCCAGTTGCATTGAGAAAATCAATTCCTGCAGAATAAAACCGTACATAATACAATTCTCTGAACGCACTTGTACCGTAAAAATTAATCTTAAAAATACTAAATAAAATAAACAAATAATTTTTCTCTTCATTTAAATTTTATTTCAATCATCCATCTGTTAACTAATAAAGAAAGCAACAATGTGCTAATGGTTATATTTTTGTCATTTGTAAAATTCGAGTATTTTATATATATATTGTTCATATTTAGTTTAGTATTTCTACACAGTATAATAAAAGAATAATTTTGTACAGCGCCCCCTCGTTGGAAAATTGAACCAAAAGACACATCTGTTGTCATCGGAAGTTCAGTTATGTTACATTGCCAGGCCGAAGGAAAACCGGAACCTCGTGTAACATGGAAAAAATCAACAGGTTAGTACCAGACAAGGAAAATACTGTTTGGATATTATTTACCTGAACTTTGAGAAACTACTTTAATTATGTTTTATGGTTATCTTCTAAGAAGAAAAAATCAAATCATAGTGTGAAAAAGGCAGACTTTCCTTCACCAGTTGCTCCTGATGAGGTGAGGTCCCTTTTTCAACTGTTGCATATTCTAATTTATCCAGGAGGAGTCTCCAATTTATTACGTAACATATTATAATTTCGACTGGCCTGAAATTGGGTTAAATGATAACTTAGATTTAGAAATTAAATAAATGTCGATATGTATCCAATTTATGATACATGCCAACAAGATTCATACAAACAATATTTAATCCTCTATCTGGTCTGGAACTTCTTTAATATCTTATCGAGAGTTCTCGAAGAGCGAATTAATTTTGAATAGATGTAGATACAATTCACTTGACAAGGAACTAGCTAGCTCTGTGTTCTTCGGTCTTCGCCGACCACACGCCGAGTTGTCCACCAATGAAATTATATAATGTATTCGTAAAAATGCTAATGTCCGATGTGAATCCACTGAAGTTAAATGGTTTGTAATATTCGAAATTTATAAACATTTCTGGTCAAATATCAGAAGTTTCTGACTAATGTGTGTTGTAACAATCACAGTTATAACTTCCGAAGTTCATTATAGCACACCAATTATAGTAAACCAATAATATATTTTCTGTCTTTTGGCGCGGCACGTTGGTGAGAAGAGTTTCTCGAAATTTCAGTTTATGCAACAATATAAATGATACACCAATGTTTACATTCTTGATTTCTACACTCGAGAATTTTCTACAGTTTTAGTAAATAGGCGATAATTTCGCAATACAGATTTAACAGTACAAGTTATGTACATTTCTAAATATAGAGTTAACTTACACAAATATCGATATTATAATAAATATATGATAGTAACTCCGTCACACATCTTACTCGAGTTTTGTAAATTATCAATTTCTTGCGATTCTAAATGCTAAATTCTAAATGTAGGAGAGATTTTGTGCAGAGATGTGACCATGAGAAGTTAAAGCAAAAGTGTCTAAACCGAAAAGACGAATATGGTTGTAGATCTGTAACGGTTAGGGGATATTTTTCTAAAACACCCGTAACATCTATGTAGTTATATAGGTAAGACTCTTAAATAGCGATTATTTAGTTTGTTTTGTTCCAAAACGAACGTTTTATGGTTAATATTGAGTTTAAATATAGCATGTAAGCAAAACAGAAGTTTTCTTTTGAAACCTCTCTGGATAACAAACTTGAGTGTCGATGCCTTGGACTCAGAATTATGACTGTTGGTGTGTGTATGTATTTATTGCTAATCTGTATTATTTGGTTCAAGCAGCAATGATTATACAATTTTATACTAATATTAACAAAATATATTTTATAAATTTATATTTGTGTTTCATATTTCTTCGACATTTTTCTTAAACTAGGTCAGCTGTCAGCCCAATATAATACTATTATTAGCGGCGCCAGAATCCAGACTTTAGTCAACGGTTCTTTAGCCATTCATCAAGTAGCGAAGGAGGATCAAAGCAAATACGTGTGTGAGGCCAGCAATGGTGTAGGTTCTTCAATAAGCACCATTCTTGAAATTAAAGTTCACGGTAAGTTTGTCTCCTGTATTACCAACCAGTATTATATAGAAGGTACGTTGATGATACTTTTCTATTCTTTCACAACATTGATCACATCAGGAAGTTTCTAGAATACCTAAACTCACAACATTCATGTATAAACTTTACGTGTGATATGGAAGGAAACAATAACTTAGAGATTTTAGACGTTCAAATAAACAAAATATACAGTCTTATTGCCACATCTACTTACCGTAAGAAATCATTTACTGGCTTATACACTCGTTTCAACAGTTTCCCACTAGACTCCTTCAGACATAACGTTGTTCTCTGTCTTCACTCAGAAATTTCTAAAATTCATAACATATTACAAAGTAATTTCTTACACTCTATCACACGAAAAATTTTAACAAATAAACTAGAACCTACCAAAAAGTTACACACCGTCTCAAAAGGCTCAGTAGTTCTTATCAGTCTTTTCATTGGCAAACAGTTTTAAACTCAAATATCAAAATAAAAAAATAATCAAACATATAACGCACAAATTAAGCTATGTTTAGTATTTACATCAACATTTATAATTGAGAATATGTTTAAAACCAAAGACGCTCTACCCATTCTTATGCGCTCGTGAGTTGTATATAAATAGACTTGTGGTAGCTGTTACGCTACCTTTATTGGTAAAATTACACGTCACCTACAAATATGTGCACACGAACACATGGGAATTTCAGCAAGAAGCGGATATAAGCTAACTAATCCACCCAAGTCTTGTATCTGATTCTACAGTGAGAATAGCAACCAACTAATACTTCTAAAAAACGTTAAAATTCTCGACTTCGGAACCACAGATCACGAACTCTTTATTAAAGAAAGCCTCTCCATTTTCAATGATCACCCAACATTAGATAATAACATCAACTCCTCCCTGTTGTCATTAATGTAATCAATTCCGGATTCTCGGTGTTTTTATTTGATATTTATTATTATTTTAAAGATACAGTGTTTATACTTATATTTAAGCCTTTCTCTATGATAGTTTCCCTTAACAATGTTATTTATTAACATGTATATGCCGCACATATTATCGTACATTTCATTTTATTGTTACCGTTTAAATCTGTTCTTTCTAAACATCCGATTGAACACAAAAGCCCCCCAGTGGCACAGCGATACGGCGCTAGAAACCGGGTTTCGATATCCGTGGTGGGCAAAGCACAAATAGCCCATTGTGTAGCTTTGTGATTAATTACAAACGAAAACTCACTCAATGCTATTGTTTTTTTTTGTTTTTTTTTTGTAGTTCGAATGTTATGAACTAACTTTTTTGATACATTAACGCTAATGATGGAACTTAAGACAATTCCGAAACGTCCGTATTAAAGATGTTTTTTGGTATTACCGTATTTTTAATTTTTATGATACAAATCTGGTTTCAATACCTTCGGTGGGCACTGTATAGATAGCGCATTTGTGTAGCTTTGTTTGGTTATTTATTTTTCCTTGCAGCACCACCTAGCTTTCAAGTGAAGTTTTCATCACTCGCGGTGAAAGAAGGAAGTGACGTTAGCCTTACTTGTGACTCTCATGGTGATAGACCAGTAGTATTTGCATGGTTTAAAAATCACCAACAAATCCAAATAGAACGTCAACAAAGGTAGATTATCATCCCGAAACGTTTACTGCATTTTCAAGAAAATCATAATTTTATTTTAACCATGAAAGCAAGATAATTATATTACATAATTTTAGAGCAATCTTAAAACGTTTATAAGTTAAAAGCATCATAAATGTATTCCATATCTTAAGTATTAATGCTACAATTTTCACTTTTAGCCCGATGTGGTATATAATAACAAAATGTAAGTTTAAATGTTCAGAGTTTAAGACTGGAAAGTTAAAAATCACCATTTTTTATTAACTAATATTAATATCAACTTTGACATTGGTTTATCACAAAAATGATAATAACGTAAGAAATGGTATCGAAAATATATAGAGTTAATTATTATTTTATCAAAAATTAAAGTTGAATTATCTTGTAATTTTTGTAACATAGATTAAAACAAACTAGTAGCTACTCTACGATTTTAATCTAAAGTATTTTCTTTAAATGAATGATCTAATATAAAAACATTTATAGCAAGAAATATCGAGCTCTATAAAACAAGTTAATAATTTTCTATATTAGATATGTACTTGACACTACATCTATTGGGGAAGTTACGAAATCCGAGCTCACGATCTTCTCAGCTAATAGGGCTGACTCTGGAAACTACAGGTGTCAAGCCAAAAACATCTGGGGCAGTGATGACCGAAGTCTTCAGCTACAAGTCCTCGGTAATTCCATCTGAATTAACACTTGGTGCAAAGCTCTGTGGTAGTTGGTATTCGATGCACTTGGGTCACAATCGCTGTGGTATTGGCGTATCACAGAGATCCAAATCAGATCCCCTGTATCTCTGACATGCAATTAGCAAGTTCCTTAACAAACACATAAATGCATGATATGTAAACATACAAATAACTAAAGGAAGGTACCCTTTTTAAATATGTATACTTACAGTAAAAACATTTGAAAGGGAAAGGACAAACTATTTTAGGCGTTGCATGCGTCGTCTGCCTGTTCTGTTTTAAGGCTGTATTCAGCCGAATAACGCTACTTAAATTGACCTTGAACGTGACTTTTAAATAAAACACAGTCAATAGTGAGAATTAACAGACTGCGTAATCAGATTTTAAGATAACATAAATCTACTTAAATAATGGATTGAGCTGTAAAAACTAATTTTTTTAATGTGTACCTACTGCCACGTGTCGTGTTATGGAGTTAACTACTGAGCAAGTGTGAAAAACCCCGACTGGTGTTGCTTTGTGAGAAAAACATACACATTTTATTGAAAATATCTAGATACTTTATCAAAAATTAAATAAAGAAAAGTGACAAATAAGCGCGATATTTAACTATAACCTATTTACAATTTAGATTATGTGTTTATAGTTCTACAGTTGAGATGGGTGGTTCCAGCCTCGGTCTCTTGTTATTTTAAATGGTATATTTTCCCTATATATGGAAGACCCTTTAACTTGTTTTCTTTTCCTTTTACGTTCTGCTGAGTTTATGCAGCAGGCCTAGGGCAGGCATTATTGATTAAGTAATGAGCCTGAATATAAAAAGCTGGGAACCACTGTATTAGATAATACGTGCTTACTTCAAGGTAAGCTTGATTTTAGGAATTTTGTTTTTCATATAATATTACATTGGGTGATTATTGAATTTGTAGGTATTCCTGACTCACCCCGGAAAATACAAATGAAGAAAATCGAAGCACGAAGTATTACGTTAGCTTGGTCTGAGCCTTTTGATGGGAATAGACCTATCCGTAAATATATTGTTCATTATAAAGAAGGTGAGTCTTGTGTATGAATATATTGTCCATTTCACACACGTTTTTTCTTGTCCATACAATTTGGTTTATTTCACACAATGCGAGGTATTTTCTGAGAAAACGTCAGATGACTACAAACAAACAACAAAAACGAATCCTATCTCTATTTGTGTTGTTCTTTCTCAGATAAACTCAGCTATCGTTATAGACGTTAAGGTTCAATATGAATAAAGTAAGTCTTTATCGTGGATATTTTGTTACATTTTAAAGTAGTTGTGTCCTGACTATATATATATATAAATATTAGTTCTGACTATAATTACCCAAAACTTGCAAAAATGCATTGTCCAGAATCCTAGAGACTCTCTTATCGAAACGTTTTAAGTTTTATTTTTAGAATCATTGTTTGTAAAACTTCCAAATTAAATCCTAAATCCTGCTTGTAGTTTTCTTACAACTTTTACTTGAATGAACTTCGTTCCTTGAAATTTCATCTATAATCATTATATTTTTTTATATTTATTGTCTAATTTAAATAGATTTCAGAATAATTGAAATCTGCACAAAGTTGAGAAATTAATGCAATAAAATAGTGTGTTGTCTGTCAGTTAATAGATACTAAAGTGACGTCACATAAGGAATGCTTAATGTTGCAATTTATACTGTTGTGTCGTCAGTGAAACTGCGAATACCACGAATCACAAGAAGGATTATGCACTCTGTAGGCTACAACACAGCATGACATATGAACTTCGAAAGTAAGAAATAAAAATATGTGTTACTTCTAATTTTGGTTTTATTTATTCTAGAAACAGAACACTTTCAGGGACCGTGGGGAACGACATCTAGTTTTACTTTACTGATTTAAACAAATGTTTAATCGAATAGTGAAACTGATTTGTGATATTAAACGTGTAATATTCTTCTTCTTGAATGCTAATACAAAACCTTCATTAACATTAAACTCTTCCATTTGCAGGAAAACAAACTATGTCGTTAAAAGGATTTAACACATTCAAAAATATATTAGTTCCTTTCTGAACACTGTCTTTACAAAATGTTTACAGAAATGTGTCAGAGTTATAACATTTAACTAATACATAGCTGTTTTCTCAAGGATATTATTATAATTAAGGTAAAATAAGTTTAACAGGGATATTTTTGTAAAAAAAATTATAAATAACTTTAAATATCTTGATTATAAGCAATTTAATTAGGGGTAAGTTTTTTATTTACGTGGAAATAAAGCAAGGGTACGTTTCTATTTTACAAATAACTAAAACCGGTGTATGTGGACGTGGTCTAGAGTTTAATGAGTCAGGCTGAGGATCCAAAGGTCAGACAAGAATAGCCCTGGAGTTTGAGGTGGATGCTCTTGTCTGTCAGTTCAAAATTGTGAACAGCAATGAGAAGACAGCCCCCTTGTATAGCTTTGCGCAAATATTCCAAAAGAAACGTTACTTATATATCAAGTAATTGGTCATCTCAAGTAGTGATTGCCAGGAAGAAGGAAGATATACCAAGGTTCTACATGGAGTTTCGATAGGTGCATTTGGTAACTCACACCAGTGGCTTCATTTATTATGAACAAATGATTGTCTGAATGTATTAGAAGGCTCTCATTGGTTAAATATATTGGATCATGCACCTGAATACCAGCTAATTGAAAGCAGAGTTAAGACTGCTTTTAGCAAAAGAGATGGTTTATGAATTTCACATCAGACCATTCGGTCTGTGTAATGTACTAGCTACTTTCAAGTGGCTGATGGAGCCTAAACTCAAGGGTTTGTAATGAAATAGCTGCCTAATCTGTGTTGACAACGTTTTGATGTATACCTGAACTTTAGTGCTCACATCTGAAAACATGAAGATAGTATTCCAGTATATACAACAGTCAGACTAGAAATTGAGCTAGGAAAATGTTCATGGGAACAAAAGTGGAGCTTCTCAGATAAACACTATCATCTTTACTTGTATGATAGGAAGTTCACCCTCCTGATGGACTACAATTTGCCGAAGTGTTTTGTAAAGCTTAAAAATCTGGAGAGGATAATAGCATGTTGTATAATGACGTTACAACAATACGACTTTATCATAGTTTATTACCTAGGCTCACAACATGGAAACATGGATGGGCTATCTCACTGCAAGGTGAGGCCCTGGAATATCTTGACTTTGGACACCATGTGGCAGAGGAATCCATGGCTGATAAACCATAGCAAAAACCGACCATGAAGTAGACGTCTCTACTGAAGTATAGATGCCAAAGTTAATGCTTAAGTAGATCCAATACAGGCAAGTGGAGAACCTTGACCTAGCTTGGGTGCTCCAGCAAGGTCAATTACAACCAGCACTAGTGGAGGATTGTAGCATGGATGCACATAACATTTGGCATTTATATAAGTAATTACACGTACAAAAAAGCTTGCTATACTGTTACTATTAACCAAAAATATTGTTCTCTAACAGTGCTGCAGATAGTGGTTCTCAGAAATATGTGGCAAGAAATACTTGAATTTGCACAAAACCAAGAATGCAGAGTACCATGATGTAACCTACATTTGTGAAAACATTTAGTGGTGATTCTTCTGGCCACCAATATGTTGAAATGTTCATGGCTGATGTAAGTGTTGTATAGTGCGTGCTGCCCAGAGGAAAATCAGCTACTACGAATTTGTTAGCCAAGAAATGGATAGCCTGATTCCGAGCACAGGAAAAAAATCTATATTGATCAAGTAGGTAACTTCAACAGCCAACTGTTTCCTGGGCTGTGTTATTGTCATTCTTTTATTAGTGAAAAACTACACAGTGGGCTATTTGAACTCTGTCCACCACAAGTTTGTTTGTTTATGGTAGAGCAAAGCCACATTGAGCTGTCTGCTGTGTCCACCACGGGTAATCAAACCTCGAATTTTAACACTGTAAATCCGTAAGCTTACTGCTGTCTCACCAGAGGATGCTAAAATGAGGAAAGTGTTAGGTGTGGTGAAGACCTGTACGTCACCTTATCTCTCCCAGTAAGATGGTGTGGTAGAATTCGTAATACAAACTACCAAGGATATGCTTGCCAAAAACTCCAAAAGGGATGAGCACTTGCTTTATGTGCTGATGGTATACTGAGCAATGGAGCAGGGATCAACAAGCTGTTTGCCACACCTTCACTTGTTTTGACAGAAGATATTACTCTCTGTGGACATGTATGATCTGTCACCACGAAGGGCAATCCCACAGTATTCCCAAAAGTATGTAGAGTGACTAAAAGTTGAAATATTAATGAGTTGGTGAAATTGCCAGTAGTACATGAAATTCACAAATAATGGTTTAGATATCATAACCAATATGTATACCTGGTATTATATTTGGTTGTCATAGGAAAGTTTTCAGTCATACAGATTGGAATATTGAATAAGCAAACAACAGTTGGACTCAGTATTTCCTTAATGTTATTTCATTACATAAGGCAAGAAATGAAAGTGTACATGTAATAAGAAACGGTTGGATAATTTGTGAATGGGAGAAGTTCTCTAAAAAAAATGAAATCGTTGACATAGGCTAATGACCGAAGATGGGATTAGAAGCACCTAACCCGAGTAAGCTGAGCTGTGTAGGATCCTAGCAGTCTTGACCGATTTTAGTTCCTACTGGAACCAGATGCTGTTTTTGTGTCAACCCTATGGTAGGCTAGGATTAAAAATGGGTCGGAGAGCTTAGTGTACGTATCCTTGTTGTCTGCCAGAGACAACTGTTGGTATAACAGCCACATGTATCTGATCCATTGAAAATTCATGGAAACCATGAAATCAGTAGGTCCTCGAGCTACTTGAACACTATGGGTGAGGATGAGTGTGAGTACATGTTAAGCCTGTAGAAGTGTTGCTTCACCAGTACATAGTTCATAACTGTAACAAAGGAGTGTACTATCATCTTTGAAGATGAATAAACCAACCAGTGCTGATGGAGAACAGCGTCTGTATGATTAAGGACCCAATGGTAGCAATGCAAGCCATCATTCTAAAGGGCCCTAGCCTCCAAGAGGGTCAATTGCACGAGTAAGTACTGCTATTGGTGCTACCCAAAGAGGCATAGACATAGAAATGATAGGCCCAGTGACTTGTCCAATCATAGGATGTGGCTCTGCCACGAGAAGAAAATAACAGATCTCTGAGAGGACCACTACATTCTTAAGCCCAGAAAAACCTTTTCCACACTAGATATGTCTTGAGGGACATCCAATTCCTGAAAAGACTGAGGTAGGGGCTCCAACAAGGCTGCAATATCAGCAGTGAAGACAAGGGTAGTGGTAGTGCAGACTAGCTGGAAGGCTAGTCCAATGTTTCCTGCCATCAACAAGAAAGTTTCGATCTTGAGGGCTGAACTGGTTGGAAGATTGTATAAGAGATATGCCAGAACATTCCTCAGGAGACATGCTACAAGGGCTGAGAGTGGAACTTCCTTCCAAGTCACTAAAAGGTGATAACAAATCAGCCAGCAATAGAGCTGATTCCAGTTTCTAAGGTGCCATTACTAGAAGATGATAGCCAAATGGACAAGGACAGAGCTCTCTACAACTGAAAAGAAGATTTGCTGATTTGCTAAGAGTTTATCAAGTAAAGACTTACTCCTTGTAGAATTAATCCGATAAAATGTGCCTAAATTCAACAGGTAAGCTCAGTTTCTTTGTTTGGTCGATAGCATCACTTCCTGATTTCGTTTTTATCTCATAGCATTGGTCGGCTGTTATATCTAGAAAACATCAACTCGACCAGCATTTTAGTACCACTCCTTTCAATTCAGATGCTATAGATTACTGCAATATCATCTTGGACAGAATAAACATTATCCACTATAGAGGACAAAGCCACTAGAATAAGGCAATCTCCGAGATGTTTAGATCACGTATTTATGCTAAAATGCCATACAAGCTTAATAAATGAAAAATCTTGAACATTTCTATATCATTAAAGCTGCCCCCAGTAGCACAGCGGTATGTCTGCGAACTTACAATGCTAGAAATCGCGTTTTGATTCCCATGGTGGGCAGAGCACAGATAGCCCATTGTGTAGTTTTGTGCTTTACTACAAACAAACACATATCATTAAAGCACATAAAAAATATATATACTAAGCTTCTTTATCACTCAAGAACCATTTGATAAATGCTGCTTATAAAATGTTGTTAGTAATTCCTAATGTAAGGAAAGTAATAAGTTTTATATTGGAGAAACTGGCTGAAAACTTTGTCATAGAATTTTGGAACATATTGAATGTATTTAACAAGGAAATATTGATAACAGTGCTGTCTTAAAATATTACATAACCACAGTTTATCAATAAGACACTTATGACAGCTGAAATATTTAAAAAAAAACCTTTATTTATTGTTGTTGTTTTGAAGTTAACACAAAGCTACACAATGGGCTATTTGTACTCTGCCCACCACAGGTATTGAAACCCGATTTCTAGCGGTGTAAGTCCGCAAACAATCCGCCGTGCCACTGGGGGCCTTTGATTTATAGGAAATACACAGAAACTTTATTCGTTGAATCTTGCATTAAATCTGATCATGGCTGACCACTTTAAAAAATAAAAGAAAAAAAGGTAAAAAAGAAAAGGGAATGGGAAAAATTACTTTGTACCTTGTTTTCGTAAAAACAAATTTTGTTTAAATAAAGTCTGAATACGTTTCTTAAACTGGAAAAGCATGATTACAGTAAATCATATGTGTCATAAAACAATAAGATTAAGCTTAATGTATTTTCATTATTACATTTTTTATTCGTTCCCTTAGGGTTTTTTTTCGAGAAAGGAGAGTGTGAAAAGGCATAAGTGACCAAATGTAAACCTAGTTGCCACAAAATCACTCTATGCACTTTGTGGCATAATGACATTATAAGAGTAATGGTTAATCCCGCTATTCAATGAAAAAAAAATCATAATAGGTGCCAATTATGTTGTTTACTACCTGTCTTTCCTTTAGTCTATAGGTTCAGAATTGGAAGTTAGCACAGGTAGCTCATGTTTAGCCTTGTGTTATAGCTCTATGTAAATATATGAAACAAACAAGCTTCTTGGTAAATAACTAAACCATTCATAACTAATTAAAACATGGTATGTGTCTTACTTACGAATAACTAAAATAAGGTAAGTAACTTTATAAGTATCTAAAACATATGCATTTATTGTTTGTTAATCATTAAAAAGGGGTGTGTTTTTTATTTATAAATAGAATGGATGTCTTAGTTTTCTATTTATAGAAAGTGTTATTCTTCTTTCTGTTCTGGTGCTACTAAATGTTCTGAGGAACTGACTGAGCCAGTTTTGATTGAATTAGGGGAGGAACTCAGACAGAACCCTCTCCCCCAAAAAACAAAAGTGGCGTTTAATGCCGTATGCAGCACATGTATCTTTGCATTGGATGATGGGATTGTTTCCTATGGCTCAAAATGTAACTCCACAATTATACATTATTTTTAAATCCTGATATTACCAGATACCTCTACTTAATAGCAGTAGGATCAAACAGAAAATTTTAGAGTAACCTGAATCTAATACCTCAACTGAGTTTTGAGTTGCATGAGAAATAAGCAGATTAGACATGTTTGGTAGACAGTGAAAACGATCTTTATTCACACACACACACAAAACACTTGTGTACATACATAGCAAGAGGGCGATCACCTATACTGGATCAGGGAATAGACTGCCAGCTGTCTGTCTCGCAACATGAAACTGCCAAATTAATCACAGTGAAAACCAATTAGAACTCTAAGAAACAAAAATTCTGCACTGATGCAGGATACCTTGGTTTCTTTGTATTTGTGATAGCATCACCACATACAAAACTGGCCATTCTCTCACATATGTCATTGGCTGTAACATGGGCCTGGCATAGTTTGGTGGTTATGGCACTCGATTCACAATATGTGGGTCGTAAGATCAAATCCCGTTGCCAAACAAGCTCTCTTTTTCTGTAGAGGGGACATTATAATGTGACAGGTAATCTCATTATTCGTTGGTAAAGAATAACCCAATAGTTGATAATGGTTTGTGTTGACTATCTACCTTCCCTCTAGTCTAAATTATGGATGGCTCACAAAGCTTTCCCTTTGCACAAAATTCAAGAAACAAACTCTTCATCAAAGTTCAGTAATCTGTTTCGACTGTGAGTTGGACATGTAGATCAGGAAGTATTAATATCAATCAAGCTTTAAATGTTTGATGTTATTTCTTTATAACATTTCGACTTCAACTCCTGCATCCATTTATTGTATATCCTACCAAGAACAACAAGTAAATATATAGTCATTTTACTTGAATGTGCTCTACAAGTACAAGGAACACAATATCACACAGAAATGGTTGATCTGGATTATTTTAGACAACTACCAATTTAATACAGGTGTACTATATATCGTACTTCTAATTTTATTATTTTCTGTAGCTCCTACGAAAAGTATTCAATGCATATTATATTTACTGTTATTGCTGAGCTAACTTAAAATAGTGACTTCTAATTTTATCAGACCATGTATAAGTTGCTGAAAGTCTGTGCTATAGTTTAGCATTTGTAAATCACTAGCACAAAGAAATACTTTATGGTCCCAAACTTTGCTGAAACTGGTACTTCTAATTTATTCTCACCTCAAAAATAGACAAATAAAACAATAGTATCAACTTTTCCATATAAAGCTTCCACCAACTGACGTGTTTTAATAAGAATCTCTTTCAGTACAAAACGCAGTTTGTATTTTTAAACATAAGCTTGAGTGATTTGTTCCAAGTATTAGGTCGTGAAGAAATTAATGTCGCTTTTTTTAGATGAAAAAACTCAAACAACTTATATTTCAAAACGAAACATTTATTAAATGAAATAGTCTCCATTCTTATCGATGATGCTTTTACATCTTACAATCAGGTTGTTAATGCCGTGATTAAAAAATCATTTGGGTTTGAAGCAAACAACATGTCGATATCCTCTTTAAGACCGTCCATTTTTCCCATTAAGATGGTGTTGCAGCGAACGAAAACGATGCCATATCTGGAGAATATGGTGGGTGGGGGAGAACTTCCTAACCCAACTCCATAATCTTGTGTTGCGTCAAACGTGCCACATGTAGTCGTGCATTGTCGTGGAGAAGAAGAAGAACACCTTTCCAATTGACGAGTAAAGGGCGTTTCTGATGAAGAGCTTGATTTAAACGTTTCGTTTGCTGACTATAGATCTCTGCATTGACAGTTTGCTGTGGATTGAAGAGTTCGAAATGAATTACTCCTTTCTGCGGATGGAGTCCAGGTTTTGTGTTGCCGGAAGTGGTTTTTGTCTAAGACTGAGCTATTGTTTTTGGCGTTTAATATTCGCATAGAGAATGCATTTTTCATCACCGGTGACAATTCTGTCCAACAATGGTTCATGCGCATTACGCGACAAAAG